AGCAAGGCATGTTGGCATGTAGTCAGCTCCGGAACTCATGAAGAGCAAGGAGCAGGTGTGATGATCATGGTGCATAGCTCACTATGCCAGGCGAAGGACATTCGCTTCAATGAGGTCCTGCCTGGAAGATTGCTGCATGTGAGGGTCCCAGGCGCTTCGTTTTCGATGGATGTAATCTCTTTCTATCAATCCGTTTGGCGATCTAAACAGACTCTCACGCAGAATCAAGAGCAACGCAAGTCTGCCTTAGACAGAAAGTCTAAGACGGTGAGCTCCCTGCCACAGAGGAATACCCTGATAGTAGCTGGGGACTTCAACATGTCTCTAAAGACGGATAGGAAGTGCGTCGGACCGTGCACCATCGGCGTCAGCAAGCTGGGGCAAAGCAGAATCAGGCACAAGGGCCCGGGAAGAGTTGCTCTCCCTGTCGTCAATTTGCCGTTGCCAGCTGGCGAGACGGCAGCCGCCACTTCCCTCTCATTGGCAGGATCGTCCACAGCCGGAGATACTCCGCGGCTCCGCGCAGCCCAGGAAGGCCTACGATCAGCTTGCCATGGAGGACTGCTATAGGCAGGCCTCAGAGAAGATAACACGCTACACGGCTCAAGTCGACGCAGACTTGGAGGCTCAGGCGCCATCCTGGGCGGGCCTTCGCTCAGCTATGGAAAAGGCGATGCAGGCTGAATTTCCACGGCAGAAGGGCACGCGCCCCCGCAGAGCCACTGAGATCTGGGATCACCGCAGGGCTCTGCGCAATATCCCTGAGGTGCTCCTGGCATTCGCGGATTTGCACTGTCAGCTCAAACAGCGGATAGTATGGCGCACCTGGGCGGCTCTTGCACGGCAGAGCGCAGAAGAACAGCCAAGCAACGCAAGTTTGCGCAGCGCCAAGCTCTGATCGATGAGCAGCTCCGACAAGCAGAAGCAAAAAGTGCCACGGACGGGAGCCCTCTACAAGGTTATCAAGACCTTCAAGAGAGGTAGACCCAGCGAAAGACTCCAGCTCCGTGACGAGCAGGGTCGCTTTCTCACGGCCACAGAGGAACGAAAGGCTCTGGAAGACTACTCCCGCGAACTATTCGGGAAAGGCGAGGACTTCCAACTAGATGGAGCTTCGGGCGAATTAGGCATCACCTCCTCGGAGGTCGTGGAGCAGCTTCGCTCCATCAAGTTAGGAAAGGCAGTTCCTAAAAACTGTCCCCCGATAGTAGCCTGGCGAGCCATAGGACCCGTAGCCCAACAGCATGTAGCTCTTCTCCTGAACGGGGAGGCACAGGCATCGCGAATGGCCCCCAGTTCCAGCATCTCGTGGCTCCCT